GATAAGCAATTCAAAGAGGCTTGGACCATGAATGGTTCTGGCATTCGACCTGGGCATTAGCTTGAGGCCACACTGAGTGGTATCATCCTTCGATGCTCAATGCCATGTGCTTGTGGAAATGACTAAAATTCTCTGGTCGAAACTGGGGACCGTTATCTGTCCTCAGAGAAAATGGTGCGCAAAATCTGGCAAACATAAGAGTGATTTCCTCTATAATCTGGTACTTCTGGTAGACTTCAAATAGCAACCTCCAGGAATCTGCTGCAGTAATAATCGACCACCACCAAAATACTTTCTCCTGTGTGTAGGGGTCCTAACAAATCTGCATTGTAGTCTTGCCAGGGAGCACATGGAGGCAAAACATGAGATGTCGGATCAGGTGGGTCACAGCTTGAAATAAATTGACAGCCATGGCAAATTAACCTTGCACACATTCTCTACATCTTTGTCCATCACTTGCCACCACACCTTACTTTGAAGCAGATACTTTGTCTTCACTACACCCTGATGACCCTCATGTGACAGTCTTACTGCCTTGTCTCACAAGATCTTCTGCACCACTATCCTTGTATCATGAAGCAAAAGCTCACCATACATTGTGTAGGTGCATAATTTCATACTTGACATGTGCAAATGAAGGAATCATACACTGTTCCCAGCTCCCAGATCTCACACAGTTCTTCACTACTAAGCATAGTTCCTCATCATTGTAAGATGCCTCTTCATTCTACGGTGATAATGCTACAGGCACGAAGCTCTCTACAACGACTCTGACAAAATCATGCTCCTTGTAACATCCAATTGTTTCACGGAATTCAAAGCGGTTAGAGCATCAGCAATGTTTGTCTTCCCAGGCTGGTGCACAACTTTGAAGTCATACCCTTTGAATAGTGTGAATAATTAGAGCAATATAATGTAAGTAGAGTATAGTGCTGTAAGTAGTCTAAAGATATTGTTTCCCTTGTGTTATTGCAAAAATAATAAAAAAACGTCATACCCTTGTAATTGCAACACCCATCTCTGAATTTGCGCGCAAGGCTTTGACGTGCATGAATAGATTCATTCCAAGGGTTTGTGATCTGTTTCCAGCTCAAAGCTTCTTCTGGATCGATAAATGCTCAATCACTCGTAAGCCCAAACCAAAGCCAACCCCTATTTCTCCATCTGCCTGTGTCGCCTCCCCACTCAGTCAAGTTGCTAGATGCATATGAGACAGCCCTCCATGTCCCTCCTTGTTCTTGGGTAAGAACTGCACCTAAACCCACTGGGGAGACATCTGCAACGATTCTTGTCCTACAGTCAACCCTGAACTAGGCCACTGTCTTGGCCAGAGTGATAAGACTCTTCAGTTCCTGAAAAGCTGTTTGTTGTTCTTGGCCCCACTTAAAGGTGGCACCCGTTCTGGTCAACTCTTGAATGGGCATGGCTA